TTGATTGATGAAGATGAAGTCGTGGAGGGTCCAAAAGCGGAGAGTCCAAAGGAGCCGTTGGGTGAATTAGAGCATAATCAATCCAAGTTCTTAAATATAAAATTATTAAAACAGACACTCTCTCTTACTTTTACTCAACTTTTTACTTACTCTTTCATCATTTTATTCAACTTTTATTAATTTTATATTTAAACACTCTTTCATCATTTTAAAAACACTCTCCAAAAGTTCTTATTTAAGCACTTTCTCTTCCTTTTACTCAACTTTTATTAATTTTATATTTAAACACACCTACTATCTCCTTTCTTTACTCAAATTTTATATTTCAATACACCCCATAAAAACACTCTCTTTCTTCCTTTTACTCAAATTTTAATAATTTTATATTTTAAGAACTGCTTAAGAACCCACCATTGATCATGTTCTTAGCCGTTGCTAAGTGGACCTTTAACATTTTGATCAACTTTTTATTTAGGTGGAATTATTTCCCTTTAAACAATGTTTTAAAACTACATAACTTTCTAGATCGAGATTGATTGATTTTTTTTTTGGTAACTCAAAAGTTATATCTACTGTGAACTTTTTAATTTAAAACTATGATGTATAGTGTTCTAACGTAGAAGATTATAAAGTAAATTAATAACTAAGCAGACATCTCCTTTTTTTTGTCAATATATAGTTTAATTATTATTGAAAAGGTTCAGAAATCTAAACTGGAAGACAAGAGTTTACATAAATTCATTTTATACAGATACGTTATAGTACTCTTTGCTAGATGGTATTTTTTTAATTGCTTATACAAAGGATTAACGAAAGAAAAAATAAACATTTTCTTACTCTTGACGAACTTTTTAAGATATATTGCGACAGTTTTTTTGCTAAAAATATATTGCGAAAGTTGGTCAGGTGTAGACACTAATTGCATCTCTTTAAATGAAAATTAACAAGTCTAAACTTTCCAAAGTAATAAAAAATAAATTACTCATCTAAAGAAATAAGATATCCTTTCCTCGAGTCATACAAAAAAAAAAAATCTGCTCCATGACTCTAGCAATTTGATCATAAATGGTCGCACATTTTGGACAACGTGACACGACTGCAACCATGTCTTTTATTTTATTTTTCTTACATATGATAAAACAATTTTTTTTTCTGATGAGTTCGTTGAATGAAGAATTGAAGTACCGTGAATTATGGTTGCGATCAACAATCTTTTTGGCTTACACGAGAGGTGAGTCAAATCAAACCATTTAATTAAACAAAACTTCGAATATAAATTGCGTCTTACAAAACAATGGATTATTTTTGATGCTAGTGACCACTGACCAATATGAACCTTTCAGAGTACGGTTAGGAAATCATGAACATTGGTGTGGTGTCTTTCCACGAACGTTTTGGTGTTTAAATCAAAATAAATTTACGTAACTAATTGGAAAAGCCGAAAACCGAAAAAGATGAAGAGAGTTCGTTTTGAACTAGACTAGACAATCATGTGTATTCATATCGGGTGTCGAAGTGAAAAATATCGAGAGAAACAATATCCAAAGTGTTTAAGTTCTACAAAAACAGGAAAAAAAATACGGGTTCGGAAAATTTGTATTGCTAAAATCATTTTCCAAACTCTTACTAATTTATGTAATGGTTAATTTCAAGACAAATATTTTAGATAATTTTGAAAATTTTTGAAAATTTATAGGTAATTTGGATAATCCATCCATTAGCATTTTATTTCTCGTACATATTTAAATAAATAAACGATGATAATTATTACAAAAACGATATGAGACTAAAAATTTGAAATGGATATGACATTGGACATGCAGCATGCTAACCAGTAACTATCTACAATTGAATATACATGTTGTTTGATGCATGATGAAATCAAGAAATAGTGTGTTTTAGGGTATCTCCAACCTCATTCCATATCCTATTCCAAACTTCATTTTTAAGTAAAATTTTTTTCAATTCCACTCTATTTTCTCCAAAATAGAGTAAATCTATTTTTTACTCCAACTACTGTATAGAGTAATCTTATTTGTTATTCTACTTTGAAGTTGAACT